CCCAACGACGCATGATATTTAGGTTCTATATTAGCGCTCATATTCTGTTGTGCTTTCTAAACTTTTTGGACCCCTGTTTGTCTTTTAAACTCTGTCCATGTTCAACTGTTTAAAACGGCAAACACTTTTTGTGTTTTAATAAACTAGCGCCATGACTCGCTCGAGAATCAGCGTGAGGGAACAAAAAATGGAATCAGATATGTCAAATTACCTTAACTGTCGCCCCATGTAAAGGAATCCGGATTCCGGAATCCGGGAAATTTTTGCATTTGGAATCCGGAATCTTGGAAATTTTTGTTTGTGGAATCCGGAATCCTGGGCCTTGGAATCCGGAATACAGGAGTAGGAATCCGGAATCCCACTGACAATTCGAATCCGGAATCCAAGTTCCACTGAAAAAGATCTGGAATCCAGTAATTGGAATCCGGAATCCACGGCGTGGAATCCAGAATCCAAGAGTGTCTTGGATTCCCTTACATGGGGCGAAAACTGACAGACATGATAGATAATCCTCAAAACCGATCTTCGTTGTATCTTTACATCTCTGCACAGGCTGCTCTCCAGCCGCAAAACATGCCCGACTATGGGACAGTCAAAACCAGGAATACAAGATTAACACAGCGGAATAACAAAGGTAAACGAACCTTTTACTCTCTTGGGGTGTTTACATGACACCGGGGCGACTTTCGCCCAGGAGCGAGTTCACTCCGGTTCCCTCTCAAGGCTCTATATTTGTTTACATGATACCACCATAAAATGTCATTCCGGCGCGAGTCACCCCGGCGTGAGTTCACCCCGGTTCTTGTACCGGGTCGAAAATTTCACTCTGGTACGAAATCTCGCAGCGGTATCATGTAAACGCCAAACGTTCACCCGTTTCGGTGTGAAATCGGTCTGCCGGTAGACAGGAACGCTTAGCGCATGCGTAATGTTTGCGTTTTTGAATCACACGTAAGAATCACACGTGTATTTTATCAATGTGAAGTGTACCTTCAAATAACGAAGTATGAAAAGACCCAGTCATCATGTAAACGCGATACGAAATCAAAAAGTCATCTCGGCATGAAACTCGCGCCGGTGCGAGTTTTCTCATGTAAACACCCCCTTACTTACTGCGTTCTTCTGCTGCTTTCGTATTGACGAATAACTAAAAAAAATGTACTTACGTCAGCGCCTTTCTTCGTTTCATTCACACCTAAATTTTACAGAGGAACATAAATACAATAACCTCTGTTTTGATTTAGTAACACTCGAAAAGTTGTATGCTTTGCTGAAACTAGCATAGGCTTAAGTCTACATCCGCCGACACATGCGCATTATGCGTGAGTCACACGCTGGCGGATCTGAACACCCACAATTCAAAACTACGCTGTTCATTTACAACCAACTTGGATAAACAATTTTGTATAAGTTTTCTGTTTGGCCTCGGCTTATAACACTTGCCTTGACCTTGGTTATTACGGATATCACATACAGAACCTTATAAGAATTTTACAATTCAATTATTATACATTGTTTTGAGCAAAATAACCCAAGGGCTAATCCCCTATATGCCCGATACGGCGATATGCCGATGGTTTTTGACTTCTCTGTCCTAAACAGGGTATTAATAGTAATTTCATGTGAGTCTGTCATAAACAGGGTATTGTACTCCAAGTAGAAAAAAGTAATGGCTATAACGTGAATTTGCTTTACTGCAATTTTGTCAGAAGCCGGTCATTTTGTCCTTTGTCCTAAACAGGGTGGTGTTGGCCTAAATAGGGAATGTATTATAGGAATTTTTTCCTTACCAGGGTCAGGGGTTTAAGCCGAAAGAGGCTTACCTATGCCCAAATATTGGTGGAGTACCCCGGGAAAAATAACGACAAACACATCGTCTGAATCTATTTTATACTGAGTTTGACATCGCTTGTAAATCATGCATTGCGCAAGCAACCTACAGATTGGTCGATCAGTCTGCTAGCAGATAACTAACAACTAATCTGTAGGTTGCGCTGATTCCAAATTTTGAAAGTTGTTCTGGGTCTTAGCCAATGAGAAGATAGCGCGGGTAGTGCGTAAAATATTGCAATCTACGTGTGTCCTAGCCAGGAACGTTTTATGAAAACAATCATGGTCCTTTCATTTGTTTACCTTAACTATATAAACTCCTGGAAGTAAGAGGAAATCTGTTCCACCTCCACTGTGGCTCCCCACCCTCCCCCCTCAATAATAATGATTTGTTATATAGACTACTTGGAGTATTTAAAGTACCCGACGTACTTCGCCTATTCAGCGTACCTTCCTATTCTAGCTGGAGATACGTAAATCCGAGGACGGCCGCGGAGGCGAAAACGTCGCTTAAAAAGTGAATTCGTGTTCTTTCAATATTCATCGCGATTATTACAACTCATTTACTTTGTCAAATGTAGGCGAACTCTCTTTCAGAAAGAATTTCTTACAACAATGTTTAAAGAGAAAAGGATAATTTCGTCGTAGCTTGTAAAAAGTGAAATTAGGGATCTTCACGTCGAAGTCGAGCAGTGACGGTAAAGAAATGTACAAAAAAGCGTAATGCACGTGCAGTTGTTGTGCCCTGTCCACAAGTATCCGGATATGTTTTTAAAAAGGACACTTTTTCTATCTTAAAAAAAAATATTAATAGTAATAAAAGTAACAGGCGTCCACTTGTAGCGTATTTGAATCGTGTTCGCCCGTCTACATGTAAATGCCCTTACAGAGCATGCGTAATGCCAGAAGCAAGGACGAGTTTAAAGGACGAGTGACATCATCGTATTCAAAAACGTAAGTCCCTTGCCGAGGATTGACCAAAAAAACCACGAATAGACTATCCAGCCTCTTACTCAAAACTAGATTACGTGCAAAAACCGTACAGTTTGAGATGAAATTGTTCTTATTTTCAAGCAAGTAAAACTTGAAGCTTCACTTGACCTTATTTTGAAAGTGACAGGTTTCTGGAAACTGAAAATCATGACCATGTCATCCTTTTTCACAGGGTTTTTCCCTCACAAAGAAAATTCCTTAAAGGGGATTAACCATTTTAACTAAAATCTACTAAGAACCCCACACCAAGATAATGCAGAGCTGCCGATGTAATTATAATCACATTCTTTTATCGCCCTTTATTTTGAAATGCAAGTGCTGGAGAGAAATTCAGACAGCTCATTCGAGAGATCACTACAAGAGACCACTAAGCGGATGATTTTTTCCGATGATCTACCTAGTTTGGACGTTGCCTTCCCCACCAGAGTCCATCCAGAGCACTAGGACGTTATGTTAAAGGCGGGACCAAAGATTGCCAAGCCGAAGAGGGAAATTACAAAAAAAATTTATGTTCATCAAGAGCTTTTTGCTTAGTTAATGATTTGCTTCATCCTCATGACTTTAACCATATGATTAGCTTAAGCAAGATTTATCCGTTGGTTCCTATAGAGCAATTTTCAATTGAGTGTTGAAAGTAATCCAGGATTGAATTGGTTTTGCTTTACTGTGCTGTTTGTTTGGTCTAGAAAACTCGCGCCACCCTCTCAGCCAATCAGATGTAAACTAAAACCAATCGCTCCTTGGTCACTCGCGTTTTCCCGCGCTTCAGGCCGGTTACACGAGTTTACTTCGAGTTGCCATTGGCTCCCTCTGATAATTTCCTTTACTCTGATTGGCCGTTGTGATTACTTTGGTTTTGGTTTTCGACACTCAATTGAAAAGCGCTCTAATACAATACCGGATAGCTTTTAGTGTAGTATGAAAAGCAATGGCCCGAAACAAGAGCAAATCGTTCACATACATCGAGCATTGAGCCGGAGCGTTTGGCCGAGAGAATTTAGTCTAAATCCCAATCCTCATTCCTGAATATTAACTTCCTGAATATTATCTTCCGTCCCTATGCCTCGAAGATTGCCCGCTGCAGCAAAGTCTGTCACAGAACCTATCCCGTATGTGACGCTCCACTTTCAGCACTTTCGAGATCGGCGCGCCGTTACAGAAATGACATTGACATCACCGTTGTTATATATGTGTGAGCAGAAGCTGGCGCAAGAGCTATCCGGTATCAAAGTGTAAACATGGCCTAAGTGAAAAGATTTCTGTCGCGAGGACATAATTCTGTGCACAAAACAGAAGAATTGTCTCCAAGTTTCATATTCTCTTGGACAAATATTGTTAACATTTCTGTGTAATTAAAATGCATTGTTATTTAATTATTACCGCTGTTCACGTAAAAATAAAACTCAGTGGAGACAATACTCCTAAATAATGAGAGAGTCTCAGTTGTTACGATTAGCGCACTGAGGCCGTAAAGTTGATACCTTAAAGTTTTTGATAACCTGACGTTGACTCTCGAGAATATAAAATTATATAAAAAATGCGTAGCAGGCGTCGGAGCAGGCAGGCATTGGGGCTGGAGAGATCCCTCTACCTTTTTTTTTTCTCCCCCTTCGATCCCCCTCCCTGCCGATTTTGAGACCCAATGCTACAATGATCTGTACAATGACAGAGGTGAAATTGCAATTCAAAAGCACCTCGTTCATTATAGATAACAGATCAGATAATGGCCGAACATCAAGATTGTCCAGTTTTTACTGTACATTGATTTGTCATAACAAAAATTTCATATTAAAAAAGCTCGATAACGCCTTCAGAGATTTTGCTTAAACCTCACGAACATTGAGGGAGCTGCTGGACAATTTTAGAAAAAAATTCCTAGCACCAAGATCGAAATAACGTCGCAAGTATAAAACGTAATGCTGTTATTTCGTTGCTGGTACAACGATAATCCTGTTGATATCGATAGGGAGTATCCCCCAACGTCAGCTGTTTATGTTTAGTCTTCCTCATCAAGGTTACATATCGCACCTGACTCGTCCCCAGTCACCTTCTCCTTCTCGTCTCCTTCCCATCACCCATCGTGCTTCCTTCGGTCACCAGTGCAATCCGACTGGGGACAAGTCAGACATCGTAGTACATATCTTCACTCACGATTATGTCCAGCTGATATTTTTAAGCTACATTTTGGTTGTCTCTACCTGTTCCTGCGAGGTATAATTATTGAATCCAGGAATCTGATGAATATTCTCTGAGTCCTGAACAACGGGAGCATCTCGGCTATTGTTTGAATTACAGCAGTGTTTACAACATCCTGCGACAAGCGCGCAAAACGCAGACAGTGCACCAAGAACAATCCCCACAATCTTCAGAATGGCGGTAGTCGACTCTAAGCAGGAGAGAGGAAAAATACGCCAGAGTGATTCGTATTGCATGTATTTTGCACCACTAGATCCCGTTTACGAGAGTCCGAACAAATTTTGGAACGAACAAAAGCTTGCACGGTTCCGCCTTTCGTTTACACGGGACCCGCGAAAGCGTGCACGCTTTTGTCCTGATCAGAAGTGTATATGGACTCATGTAAACAATACTGCAATCTGTAAAAGCACTTTTACCGTTCCGTGTAAACGGGTTACACAGGTAAAAAATTCGTCCGTTAAAAATTTTGCCCCGGACCCACACACTGTTTACAGCTATTTCGAGAAAGGTTGTCGGAAAAAATGTGCACGGGTTATGGGCTCCTGGCAGGCGACAATCCCGAAAGGTAACATGGGATATGATCAATAAACCGTTCCTGACGACTGTAGCTGTCGAACCTACTTTTGTTACTTTCCTTTAGCACTCGCAAACACATTTCCATGGCCTTTCGTGCCAATTCTTTCAAATTTCTTTGAAAAAAAGAGAACTCAAAACCACCCACAATGCCTTTCAGGATTGTCGCGTGCACTTTTCCCGACAACCTTTCTCGAAACAGCTGTATGTTAAGGGAGAAAATAGACTGCTGAACAGTCTAGGAAGGAGAGATAGAGAAAGGAGAGAATTTCTCTTCCTAGCTTCTCCTCCTTTTCACTTTGTCTCATCGTGGCAAAGATGTCCAACTGGAAATGGTTCATGGGGGTCATAAACTTGAATCCCATAGGGGTCTATTGTTGTTTGCAAACAAAGCATCTACCTTACTTTAATTGAAGGGCTGTAATGAATAAAATTACGAATTACGATGGCATTTTCATAGTACCTCAGTGGCTTTTTTTATAAAAATATTGGAAAAACTGACCCTGATTTCAACTTCGTCCTTTGTGCTTTCCCCCTCTCTACACTTAAAGCTCTTCTTGCGACCAATCTCGTACGCGACCAGCTCTGGTTACGACCACCTTTGTGAAATCCCGTTTGAGCTGTCTGTGACTTAAACTTTGTAATGAAAAGTCTCCTAAGTGACCGCTTCCGTAAGAGACCGCGGCCACTTTTGGGATTACCCAACTGGACTTTTCCTTTGTTTTTAAACTCTCGTAAGCGACCACTTAGAGTCTTATTCATAAAAACCAATACTTGAGTCAAACTGCACACTGCTCAAATGGCTCTCATATTTAGTTCTGGGGTTATTTTGGTCTATGAAATTAGAAGTTAAGTTCAGCCGTGTCTATATCAGATATAAAGACACTCATCAAACATTAATTTCATTTTCTTGATGAATTATTAATGAGCTTCTAAATCTCCGTTAAGCAACCAACCTCTATTGTTTTACCATGCGGTCGCTTACGAAAGCTCATTCTCGCAAGCGACTAGCTCTTGTTAAGACCACTTTTTCGAATTCCGAGGTGGTCGCTTACCAGAGCTTCGACTGTATTTTCCAATGGAAAGGCCTTGCGGACGAGGTTTCTCTGATTTCAAACTAATTAACAACACTCCACGTAGGTATATGGTAAACCAGAAGAGAGGAACGGCTGATCGAATCCAGTGAATCGAGCTGAGCCCATAAACACTTCAACGTAATTTCTATGTAGCAACTTGGAGGGGGGAGGAGTACTCAACGGAATTTTATACGGGGAGGCTACACCCCGAAGTCCAACCCTTACTCCTTTATATACCATCGTGACAGAAAATGTGCCCTTTTCTTACACCTTCTACTGACAAAATGAGATCCCTTTCACATTCCTATAGTTAAGAACACTATATCCCGTTTAACTACTGTACTGCATCATCTTTTTAATTTGAGTAAAAAAAACTAAACCAAGAAGTTTTCATGTCCCTTTTAAATACAAAAAATGCGTCTGTGAGCACTTTTAGGTCCTTTTTCAGACCGAAAAGACAAATTTCCCTATCCTTTTATATACCAGAAGCCTGATAAAGGTACCCCTCTCGGCCGGAAGTGCCCAGCTCCTGGGCTTACCCCCCGGGTAACACGAAACCGTTCATACTTACTTTTTCTTTTGTAGCTGGCTTTAAAACCAGGGTAGCTGGTTTTTCCACTGGACTTGAATGTGACACGCATGTCCCAGGAATCTGAGGTTATTGACTCGGGTTTCTCAGTTCCACAATACTTTCCAATAAGATCACTTGTTTTAAACACGCCGTCGCGGACCTCCACGTAATCTACAGAACAATCACTGGACTGGGACAGATTGAAGAAATCAAAAGATAGTCTTATTCTGTAATCAAGATCAACTCTGATGGTCCACGTGCATTCAATCTTGTCATCATAGGGAAGTGGATAGTTGTAGCTTGCAAGGGTCCCAGTGTCCGACTTAAAGCTGGTCAGCCGGTCGCTTCGACAAGAGAAGGGAGCTGGTACTGAAAATAAAGCACTGAATTTATAATCTCGTAATTTATACGGTCAACTCCCGCCTTGCAGAGGGTTCCCAATAGGTTTTTTTCGGGATCCGGGATTTCAATAGCTCGGGATTCGGGATTGAAAAGCATGCGCACAAGGTTGGATGCTAAAAATCACCCCCAGGATTACGGGTTTGCTCGACACGGACAGCAGCTAATTATAAATCCCAGGCAAGAACAAAATCACAGATGTTTGACTGAAATAAACTTCCGCTATTACGGACTCTCGCTAAAGAGGACACTAAGTCGAGGTCCCTACAGTGTCCGCAATAAAGGGAGTTGACTGTACCGAAGACAATGTGGGTACCGACTTAAAAAATATTAGGAAATCATTATTATGCTTGACACTATCGCGCAACCCAAGCACAAACGCGCGCGCGCACTAGGGCCATATTCACAATTTTGACCTAACGCAATTTTTTTTATCACGCTGTAGCATTTACGAAGAAAAGACGAAGAGAACTGTTTCTTAAGAACCTACTCATGAAAATAATAGTTTGGACCCAAAACGGAGGAAAAATATGGATGCAACATTCATCCCATTCACCCTTCCTCCCTATGTCAAACACCCTTAAATAACGTTAGCATTGTTGCTACTCGAATAAATTTGATGCCACAAACTAACTCGGCTTATATGTAGTTAAATGAAATTTAACACAGTTAACAACTGGGAGCGCAGGCGTCGGTCAGCGGTCAGTGCAGTGGCTCAAGCGCGGTCAGCTTGCAATCTCCATGTGCTTAGTACAGCGTTTCCTGGCGGCCACTCTCTTGTTTTAGCCTTTGGATCATTCTTTTACCCCTATCCCTTCCCACCCTTTATTTTTTCCACTGATAAATCAGTGTGACAGGTGCCTGGTTCCGTTGGTGCACGGGCTCATGGCTGGAAGGCGCGGGTTTTACCAGCCATGGAGGCGTAACTCTGTCTAGGGGCTTGCTTTGCAAAAAGTGGAAGCCCTTAGACATCCCTGGCACCCTCCCCCATTAAGCGATGCAGTTGTTAAAGTGGAATGAATAATGAGGGTCATATAAAATTGAAACCACAGCTTTACATTGGGTAACTGCCTCAAACACGGCATTGAATCCAGTTCCATACACATAACCATCCTTGAGAGACTGGAATCGAACCCAAAGATAACGACCGCTGGAAAACACTGAGCGGTCAAATGTTCGTCCACAGAAAGATTTGAGCAAGTTGCCTGATGAGCTCTGACCATCATGGATTTTCAGTGCAGTGCCTCTGCAAGAGAATCCTAAGTCAAAGGATGTTATTCTAAGCCTCACGTAGTGTCCTTCTGGCACATTTATCTTCCATGTGCACATCATGTCGTTGGGATAAGTCTGTGGATAGAGAGGCGAGAATAGTCTTCCTGTTTCACCTGTCAGCGGGATAACATTGTCTACTCCTGTGACATTGCATGGTCCCATGGCCGCTGGAATTAAACAAAATAAAACGAACAAAACGTCACTCATATATGCTAACTTCTGCGTGTATTCTGATTGGTTATAAAAGTAAGATAACTTAGAGAACCATCTAAGATGTTTTTCCGCTGCTGTCTCAGGCAGAGGGGTCCCCTTTTCTCATTTAAACCCTCGTTTAAGTTGACTCGGCTGGGAGGATTACCCTTCTACTCGAGACAGGTTTAAAAGAGAACTCTAGTGCTTAACGCCAGCTCCTATCTCCTATATATTAGCTACGTCGTACGCACTCCCTTATCTAAGCGTACTTATCCACGTTAACTACAGTCCAGTATTAGCCCGGTTACTTACGGTTTGGAACTGCTTTGAAGCTTGCATGGAATCCTGGGTATGTTCCGGAGCTGTCAGACACAAAATCTACATACACCCTCGAATAGTTTGATACAAATGATGGAGGAAGCGAGAAGCCACAAAATTTGCCAATTGTTTCCGCGTCTTTATGAAATTTCAGTTTTCCAGACTTGATTTCCACATAATCAGCTCTGCAATCTCGAGACTGCTCCACGTCGAACGAGTGAAAAGTAAACTGAACGAGATAAGCGGCTGGTACTTCAATAGTCCAAGAACACTCGGCGTCATTTGGATAGTTTAATGGATAATCGAAGCTTGCAAGTTCACCCTTTGTCGCTCTCAGGCGGGAAATATACCCTCTATCAGAGCAGGAATAACTTTCCGGGACAGCGTCCACAACCTCGTACGAGCCAAAAAATCCTCCCCTGTACTGGTCCAAAGTCACCCCTGAATACTTGACAAGAACGTTGTTCCCTTTGGAAAATAGAACTTTCTCGTTGCATAATCTCTTCGCCAGAAGTAGACTCCCTGAGTTTGTGATATCAAAAACATCAGCGTAGTTCTGGTTGCATGATTCTTCAAATTCCCAAAATGTTAACTTTATGAACTTTCCTACGGGTACTGTAATATTCCAAGCACAAGTTCCTATTCCCGGGTTTTTTGGATACCCTAGGGTTGTAAAACTCCGTCCTTCGCCAGACATGTGCACGGAAGTGTTGTTTTTGAGGGAGCAAATGCCAGAGGAGATACCTTTAAAATCAGAGTGCGTAAAGTATAAGTACATAAACCCCTTGAAAGTGCTGTAAAATCACCATTCTACATTATCTAGGTGAGTTATTAACCAGGAGAAGAGAGGATAATTGGGCAGACTGGGCTTTTCCCTCTCTGCCTCATTATCCTCTCTTGCCCATTAGCTCACTAGACTTAGGCTATATTCACACTACAACGGATAGCTTAAATTGTATGTGTTCAGTTAAATTGTCCTGACGATGCCAGTATTTTATTTATTAATTAGGTGATATGTTTTTAAAGGTGGTCCTATACAGAAGCCTTACTGGCTTCCTTGGGCTCCCTTGCCTTTATGTGTATATTTAAGTTGTACGGCAAAGCGATGATAAACAAATAAATAAATAAATAGTTAAAGTAATCGCAGCGAACTTTGAAAAAAAAACTCTTCTCTCGCGCAGACGTTCTTTATGTACTCACACTCCTAATTGCTCTACTCCTTCCCTTACAAACGCATGTCAAGTAGGTTATTCTGGTGTTATAAGGGGACTACAATTTGACAAATTTGAGCTGGAGTTATTTGTGTATACTTGACCAAAAAAAATCTCAGTGCCATTTAACTCGGGAAACGATCTCTGAGTTTAGGCTAGGCTGTTACGTAAATGTCCCCCAGGCCTGGCTCCAGTGAGAGGTCCGTTCTTGAAATCACCAGGATGAAACAACCATGCGCATGGCTTGATCACACAGTAATTTTCAAGGAGTTATAATAACTCCTCTAGTGGGGCTAATTTAACTCCTTAGAGTGGAGTTATTTTTTGGGGAGTTATTTTAACTCCAAAAAGGAGTCTAAAAGAACTCTTTTTCAGGAGTAAAAGTGACCCCCGATATTGAGGAGTTAAAATAACCCACAAAAAAGGAGTTATCCTGTACCTAAAATTTTTACTCCACTCTCAGAGTTAAATAAACTCCAAAAAGAGTAAAAACAACCCATGTAAGGAGTAAAAGTAACCCCATTTCGGAGTTATTTTAACTCCAGACTGGGAGTAAAAAGAACTCTTTTTCTGGAGTAAAAATGACCCCAAATTCGGAGTTAAATTAGGAGTTAAAATAACCCCCAAAAAGGGGTTATCCTGTACCTAAAATTTTTACTCCATTTTTGGAGTTATAATAACTCCCTTAAAATTACGGTGCATGAGAATTTAATAGGAAACAAAAAAGGCTGGGCAAGATAACGTAGATAGAGCCTTGCCCGCTCACCTAAAGGTGTCACCGAGTAATTTGCGATGAATCCTGGACCACTGGTACCATCAGCGTAGGGAATACGATAAACACTTAAGCTTGCCTCTCTTCCACTCGCGTAAAAAGTAAACGAAGTCTTAGATCTGCACTTAAAAGTTTCCACAGGATTCTCTTTGTTTATGCTGTCATGGATGTAGACACAGTGTGACGACCCCATGCGAAATGATATGAAATCCAAACGCACTACGTGGTTCTTCGGAGCTAATATCTTCCAATAGCACTGAGTAATCAGGTTCGTTGGAAAGTTGGAGGGATAGCCGGGCGTTTTGATGATACCAGAGTGATCTTTTAATATGATGTTCATGTTCTGGTCCTTCGAGTTGGATGACGAACAAGTGCGCACTAAAAGAGAGGAAGGAAAAAGACTACGATGGAAACAGTTACAGAGTATGCCGATACTTATACTTCTTACAAGGGCACTGAACGACAATAAAGATTATACTAGCAATGAAAACAGTAAGTTTCCCAGATTTTTGAAGGACGTCGTCACCTTTCGGTATCAATGTGCCAACCAGAAGTGTATTGGTTCTTGCAAAGATAGATTCTTTTGTTATACTCGTTACAAATTTGAAAAAAAACGATGGCTATAAAAAGCGATGTCTCTTTGTAGACAATGCAAAGACAGAAACGACAACGCAAGAAGATTTAAAAACCGGTTTGACCAATAGGATAGCGGTAAATTGAGTAGCACTGGGAGCAACATTTGACGTTGCAATGTCGTTTCTAAATCTGTTTCTTGCATGAAACGGGAACTGATTTTGTCAAAAGCTACAGAGACCTTGGAAGCCTCAGTTTCCCTCACAAAGTTGTACTCTTTCTTCGCCTGCTGTTTTGCTGTGCCTACCCCAAAAACGTATAGCATTCAAGGTTATATAAGTGAAAATATACAATAACAAACCTACGACAAATCAAAGACAAGTAGTTGTGGCATCGACAACATTTGACCATATAATGTAAGTATAACTTATTTTTCTCATTTGGTGCAAGAGCTGGGTGTGAGAAGAAAGACTACTAAGCATAAGATCACGCCATGCATCTTGAATCTACTCATATGCAAGAAAATAACTGAAAGAAAATGGTTTTGTGATAAAACGTTCTTGAGTTGTAAGGTAATCACTCTCACCTGTCTCAAAAGCTGTATATAAAACTATTATTCCACTCTCTGACAGGCTTTGTTGAGGGTGACCATCACTTTTAAACAGGATGTACAGACTACGGAACTTAGAATATATAGTATCAGTATTGGCGTGTGGGTTACTCAAACGAAGGCTATTGGCACTGATTTCTGAGCCATCGACATCATAAACCTCCACCCTGTCTGAAGACTTGTAGGAGCTGCTTAACCGCGATGTAAGCTGAAGCTTTATAGTTTGATTCTCTGGGGCCATGATGAACCATCCGCAGGTCATGTTCATGGGAAAGCCGAGAGGGTAGTAAGGGCTGGAAAAGTTGTTTTCTGAAGGGGACTGCGGAGCGTCCAGGGTCGTGTTTAAGGAACAATCTGAAATTAGAGATGTACAATGGTTAATGGACTGCTTTAAGGGTACAGTGGAGTGTTCAATTTCCAATATAGCACGGAAAGCAGATCGAGAAAAGTTGCTTGAAAACCGCGTGGGATTGGGGATTTAGGATTAGGACGGGCAATTTGACATTTTGCCAAGACAGACGGTGCGTTTTTCTGTGGGTGGACTCTGTAGTTTTCAGAAGGTTACTTATAAGCCATCTCTTTCTGCCGTTTTTGGCTCGCTCGGTTCTGCCGATCGCCAGGTTTTTTCGCTCGTCTGCATTGATCAAGAGCCCATCAAAGAGTAAGGCGATGAAGGCGATTGAGTCCCAGGTATCAGTTAGATTTCTGACTATTCATTAGCTGTTCATTGAAAGCAACTTTTCCTCTACAGTGTTTCTTTATTCACTTTAAGGACAATCGATGAGGAGGACTGTAGTACACTGAAACCTCGATTTAACTGTTAGTGCCAAGGGACTGGGAAAATTTGTTCATATGGAAAACCTCGATTCAACGAATTGTTTGGAAAACATTCAAGCAAAATGTTACTTATATCGAGGATATAGTTCAGGGGCGGATCCAGGATATTTTTTTATATAAACTGGTGCAAGGATTTCTCCACCGTCTCTTGAACTCTAAAAATACTTTTTTACAACATATCAATAAACCACATCAGGTTTTTTTAAATTGGCAGAATACCGTTGGTGTATCATCGTCTTCGGGTCTTCCTCTATAGTGCTCGGCAATCTTCGGAAATCTTCGGACATCTTCGGTTTTCGGATCTCGGGGGGAACGTTCGTCTGGTCTTCGGGACAATTTGAAAAATCTTCGGAAATCTTCGGAAGGTGGTCCCCGGAAAATCCAAAAACGCCCATCAGTATGTTTAATGATAAACAGAATCAACGTCCAGCATTTCCGGATCTGAACAACCTCTGTAATAAACATTTGTATACGAAGCTACTGTCTCAGTTCTGAGCTGTACATAGCTACGGCACTAGAGACACAGGAACAGGCAAAAAAAATTCTTAAAACTAACTGTACACATACATTTTATCCTCGTTGGTCTGTTTCGCATATTTTGCATTTGCGTTTGCGTTTGCGTTTCTGGATTGTGTTCGTTTATATAAAGAGGATTTTGTTAAATCGAGCCTTCGTTATATCGAGGTTCTGTTCCATACATTGGATTATAATTTTGGCGGGGCTGAAGAAAATCGTTAGTTGTATTAGTATAGGTAATAGCATGATTTGTAGTGATGTTTGGCATAAATACCACGAGTGATATTTCAAAATTGTTATACGAAATTTCACGAGCCGCTAGGCGAGTGAAATTTGAGACAATTTTGTTTGTTATATAGAGGATGGTTATTTCAAATTAAGCTGAAATACCACTGGTTTTTCATGTAGTAGTATAATACGGAGAACTTTGTTATATAGAGGATGGTTAAATCGAGGTTCCACTGTATAAGCAACTGATAAAAATGCTGATTTGTCAATTCTCGTTTTTAGAATGTCCAGCTGATTTAAGGATGTACCACAGGTCATATTATAGTATTTAAAATCAGAGATTGTGTACGATAATTACTTTGAAAAGGCACTGCATAATATGTCACTCGCAAGCGATTATTGTAGCCTGTTCCTGTCTTGAGCTCCAAAAACACAAAACGACCACTAGAAAAAAAGTAACTGCCAAACGTGTAAACGCCATCGTTGCAGTACTTTGTAATCAGGTTGCTTGAATTGCTTGGTCCATCTAGGATCTTTATATACACATCGTTACAGGAACCTGACAACAAGCTGGCTCTGACCTTGATTCTAACCACCTTGCCAACAGGAGCCGTTATGTTCCATTGACAGCTAGCGTTGACTGGCAACCTCTGTGAAACATTTTCCCGTAAAACTTGCTCATTTTCAGTAGCTATCAAGGAAACTGTTGATGGTTGATTTGAAATGCAGCCTATGAAAAAACGTTAACGGAAACTCAAGGGCTATAAAATGAGCAATTCATATGATGTTTAGTTGATCAGCAAGAAAAAAAGAAAAAAAAAGACTGTCGTTAATTGATTCATTTCATTTGTTGGAACTGCGGAACGAAGAAATGACTATTAAAAAGAAGATCAACGCCGGCAGTTAAAGAAGCAACTCATTGAGTTTGCTTGTGCTGAGTGTTGTTCAGTGTGATAGATGTTGTTTCGGTGACGAGTGTGAGGAAAACTGATCGAAGCCTGAAAAAAATTCACGCTTGCTTGCCCTAGCTTTCGCAACTGCATAAGATGAGTCTTAAACAGCGATGATCTTCTTTACGTTTACTTGCAATCTTCTCGTTTAAACGACCTTACAATAAACGTGACTAAAATTTCTAAAAAGAAAAACACTATAAGACTTACCAACATAAAAAGACCAATCAGTAGGATGAAATAAAAAGAAAATTTTGAGTTCTTGGGGTGGGGTTTTTAAAGATACGTACTCAAGAAAAAGTTGTTTTTCTATTGAAGTCCCATCTTTGCCGCTTTTACCATTCACCGGGTACCAATAATACATATTCGGCGAACTGATTATATATGTTCATCGCTACGGGACTTAAAGCACAGGCTTTTAACTTGATCGTTCACTCACCTTCAGCAGCAAGTGCCTTAACAACCACGAACAAACCTACAAAACAGTGGGTTTTTTGTTGTATAAAAAATGAAAATACAAAAATACTGACCCTTATATTTTCTTGTTCAAAATCCCAGTTGTACTTTTCTTCAATTCAACAATCTAAGTTAGGGTGAATTCGTTTAATTGTAACTTACACGTATAGTGTATAGGTGCATTTACTCGCTTGAACATTTTTTTTTTCAATTTTAAAACCAAAATTTTCTGAAGGGTAAATGCTAAGGGATGCACCATTAGAAATGTGAAGGGGGGGGTAGGACTTTCTGGAAAGGCATGTTATTTTTTTCACAACCAGCAGGAGTGCAGGATTTTTTTTTCAACCTTCAAACCCTTGCACGATTTTTTTTTTCCAAAATGACTATGCCCTCTTTTGGTCTTGTTTTACTAGACTGTTTCAACCGCGCAAATGTTTTTTGTTGTAGTGTTCCAACAGAACACGTTTGTTTTAAGTATATTTTTTTCATACTAATTGAGATTTTCTATTGAAATTTGGCGTGTGAAAACCCTGTTCAGGGTTCGCAGCCAATCAGAATGGCGAAACGACTTTCACACACGTGAAAAAAAGCGTTTCGTCCAGTCACAGATGTTTAGTACATAATGTAATAGGACACCTAAACACGTGCAGTGTTAGACATGGACTTTTTTCGCATTGTATGTCAGATAAATCTCTCTCGCTTTCTGGATCTCACTCGCAAAGCCTTGCTCGTTCAATTTCTGATGCGAACCAACTCGTGCGTAAATACCGTACGCCCGCGCTGCCCATGAAGTAATCTATATGTTCAAACGTCCGAACTGAGTTCAGTGGCAGTTGAAACAGCTACACAAGCAGATCAAACGGTGTTTTACCCAAAGTAAACAAAAAATTCCAACCAACCAAAAAGAGTTAATACAAATAGAACATAGCCTTTAAAATAGTAATTTGTGAAATGTATGTTGTGTCCTCGCTTTGAATATTGAATGAATGTTCTGAGGGGTACCCCCAGGACTAGAGCACAATAGTCATAATAAAGAAAAAAATATTAGTCCCTATATTTTAAATTTTATTACAGGCTTGAAAGAGACAAATCAGTTCTACCAAGAACTGATACCACGGGCAGAGAAAGTGGTTGAAGAAGTTACCAAGATTTGCACAGAATACCAAGATATTGTAGAGAAGTATCGCTCAAGCTTTGGGAGTAGTGTGGGCCAGCAAGTATTGCGAAGAAAGAGGAAGAAGAATGCTCTAAAGGAAAATAAAGAAAAACAAAAGAAGAAATTTCAAGCAGGCGAGGACTGGAACACAGAGAAAGAACCTGAGGGAAGACAAGAAACAGAGAAACAGAAAGAAGGAAAGCAAGCATCTCAGTCCTTATCATGCAAGGACTGGAACACAGAGAAAGAACCTGAGGGAAGACAAGAGACAGAAAAACAGAAAGAAAAGGAAGAAGAAGAAGAAGAAGAAGAAGAAGAAGAAGAAGAAGAAGAAGAAGAAGAAAAAGAAGAAGTAAAACTGCAGCCAGCATGTCAGTCTTCATCAGGCGAGGACTGGGATACAGAGGAAGAACTTGAAGAACATTTCCTCTAAATCCTACCATATGTCTGTGGCCCATATGTTTAGGTTCAAGTTTTTATTAGAATGCACCATTTCTATTTATGGTTTTGCAAAAAATTCAAAATATTTTGTGTTAGTTTGGGTAAATAATATTCTTAATACTTTTAAATGCAGCCTGCAGTGTGATTGGTGTTTTTGGGACATCTACTTTTGTTTATAGCTGTAAACTTTATGGATTCAAGTAGCAACGCATATTGTACAACACCAACTCCATAAACTTGCGTGCAAGTGGAACTATTGACGTTGTTAACACAATCTCACTTTAATCCCATTAAAACAAAAAGTATTTCAATAAAAAGTTTATTTAATTTATAAAGTTAAACAATTATCACCACAGTCTCTTAATTTAATACTATGGCAGCTATAGAGATCAAGGGCATCAGAGTTGGTTCAAATTGAAATCTCTATTTAGCCAGTAGAAATTGTTTTTTCTGCCTGAAATGTAGTTTGACATGAATTTAGGAAGTTGGGGGAAGGGGATTTCCTGTTACAGATCACAGATTTATTTTTCAGACTGTGTAATATATTGTCGCAGTCACATTGGTTATCCAAGCAGGATATTTTTTTCTGGTTTCGTTGCAATGCAGGATTTTTTTTTCTTAAAATTTTGTTTTGCAGGATTTTTTTTTTTGTTTTTGGACTCCCCCCCCCTTCACATTTCTAATGGTGCATCCCTTACCGACCAAAACAAGCATTACCAACTTGAAGGTTATTTACACTTGTAAATGGCAAACCATGCGCAAATTCACTTGCAAATCCGTCGGTTGGAAGGTGGTTTGTCGCGTGTCACTGGCTTGTTATACGCATGACCAGTAAAAAAGAACATGTCACGCGATCGACAAGTGCTGTGAAAAACAGGGATTATCTTAGTTTTGAGCAAATTATATATTTTCTCCGATGATTATTCTCGCGAAAAGAGTTGATAAAAATTATGGAGTAAGGTCGAAGTCTTATATTGTCTAATAATTCTTTAAAATATTTCTAACCCCATTATTCTCGTCTCTGAAACATTTTCCTGTTTTACGGCAGCTTTGGGATATAAACTGGTTTTTATTTTCTTGCAGAGATTTTTTTAAAAGCAAATTTCACCTTGAAAAGTGCTCTTACTGAGTATTCTGCTCTCAACAAAACCGCAAATAATAAACAGCAACATTCTAGACGAGGCTGAATTCTTTGTTTTATTATTTTTTTAAATTTATTCAAAATAAATATTCCTAAATCCAAGCCCATGATATCATTTCCTCCACTCCTCATCAAAACATTAACCCGCTTCGTGACAGCAGTTTACGGATATGACACATTATACTCATGCGAGTGAAAGAATGAATGTTTTTGTGGCAGTTTTCTTTTGTCTCTTGTTTCTTGCTGAGATTTGTCAACTAAATCATCGTGCATGTGTAACCTGCTCTCAACAACATCGGAACAAAGGGCTTCTTAACCAACTGCATAATTTCGACCTGATGAAGCTGATACTTTTATACTTTTTTTCAAAACATAAGATCATAATGTCATAACGTAACATTACCTCTATTCGTTGTCACAACATTTGCCTGTTACATGACAATTTAATACGGATACGAGCGAAAGAATGAATGTCGATACATTGTAATTTTTTCTTTTTTTTCTCTTGCCCGCAAAAATTTTTCAATAAGCAGTCATCATCCTTTAAGTCGTATCATCGTGAAATCTGCTCTCAACAACATCATCGGAACAAAGGGCTTCCTTTAGCCAAAAGCATTGAAGCCGAATCGTTTAATTATTCTTTTCATTAATCCATTTTTGAAATATTTCCAAACTCATGAAATCCTCATGTTTAACCTTGTCATTAAAATATTTCCTGTCCCTGCCCCTTGGTAATGCCATGATATACATGTATATGGTGACCAATGGGCCAAAAAACTTTGGCCGTATTATCGAGGGTTTTTTTTCCAAGAAAATGTATGGCGGTTTTAGCCAGGCGGCCAAAAAAAAGTTGCCGCGTTATCGAGGTGGCCGTAATGCGGGGTTTCACTGTAGATTCTTACTAAACCGGATATTTTTTGTTTGTTTCAATTCTCGTTCAATCCAAAGGCAGTTTTCATCCCTCCAGTGGCATCATACTACAGGCCTCCCTCACAAACTAATGCAATGCACCCATCTATTGTTTTGAAAGGTTTTTATTTTCAATAAACGGAAGAGCAGGTAGAGGAGGGGATCATTTCAGAAAGTCTGCTGTTTTATTTAGCAAACATAATAATGACCTTCTGGGTCTAAACTAGTCTTCCGAGGCCATTTTTCCGACATCGTAAAAATGATAAACTTTCTCTACGTGCTCGACCAATGTTTTAACCCATTCGCTCCTGGAGATTTTGCCGAAAAACGCGTTTGGAAGCTAGTCGAGTGGTTTTCTGGTCACTGTCTTGCTATAAAGAGCTAAAACTTACCACAAACCGGTTTGCATCTGATCCAGATGCAAAACATCAGCTTGCGAAGTTCGGGCATGCGCAGTTTTTGGGTTTAAAAGTGACACAGCAGTCTTGACTTTTACTTTTCGCTTTTTCTCCTCCCTTCTTTTTCCGCCTTTCTTGCCTCATTTTTTTTTCTCTTGCTGGGCATTTAGAAGGCTTCATTTTGGTGGGAAGAGTTTTTAGAAAAGCTTTTAGGATCTTAGGATTAGGTGAAAGGAAAGGTAGGTGGGCAATGGAACAAGTCATGGAGATTTTCGGGTCAATGTCACGTGGTTTTTTGCTTCTTTCTCTGGTGTCCTTGACTGAATTGTGCTCATTCTTGTATGGTTTGAAAGATCTCTTCACTCTACACAAGTTAGCGAAAAAAGTTGTCCTTGACCGTTAAAACTGATGACGTCACAAAGGGTAGAAAGGACCTGGATCCGCACGGGCGGTTACGGGCGGTTCAGGGGCGAATGGGTTAAGGAAGGCCTTAGAGCAGAGGTATTTTTGAAAGTGCTTTTTGAGTGATTCACGTTAAACGGAGTGGGCTTTTTGCTTTCTTCGGCAGTGGTCTTGCCCAAATGTTCGGGCAAATCGTCTCTTTACGAGTAGAGACCCTTAGTTAGAATATTCAGCTATTTCGTCTTCAGATAGCTGCGAACGCCATTCAGGCGACATCTTAGCGCTCAAAAAGTGGCTGATCACAATGGTGACAAATTTCAAAACATGAACCTCTCACTTAAAACGAAGTACTGCACTTGTAGGAATTCTACACACAACATTAGTTGCCCGCTGAGGGATAAGTGAAACATGATTTTTTGGATACTGAAATAATGACCGCAACAGCTTCCGAGGTAGAATTATAATTTATTATTTGGTAAAATAGTAACAGACAACAACCATTCCATTCAGGGGACATTTGCCTGGGTCCCGAGGTTGTCCCCCTTTGAGGTTCTACTGTAATAATAGGCTGATTTAGCAACAGAACTGGAACGTCAGTTGACGACGGCGCGCGCAAATCAAACAACTGGCTTGACCAATGGCAGAACGGCAAATTGAGCTCCGAAAGTCGTGTTTAGTCCTTTCAGCGCGCTTTCCCGTCGTCAACTAACGTTCTCGTCCTGTTGCTAAATCAGCATAATAATGCCAATTAGGGGGGAAGGGGGGTTATAGCAACGTCGGCCTCAGGTTGTTATTTCAATGTTAATACTATTCACAGTCACTTGAATATTCATATTTTGTTGGAACCTCCCACTTTTCCAATGGTCGGTTAAGGTTTTAAACGTGTTAAAATTCGAACTCAAGAAAGCGTTTTTCGCAAGTTACCAAAGGAGGGTCAGAATTTGCGACCCACCCAACCCTCCCCGCATCTTCCGGTGGCGCTGTGCCAAATTAATACTGAATACTTCGCCGCTCCGCGTCGTCTCTCACTTTGACCGGAATGATGTGCCCATTCCCTATTAATAACAAAGGATTCCAACAGAATATGGCAATAGTTACCGACCTACAATAGTAGGACCTTTAGCTTTACTGATGAAATCGTCTCTCCTTCTCGTGAAGCCCTACCCAATGCTTGTTTCAATTCATTCGCTTCGTTTTGTACAGTGTCTCAAACTTGTTCTTATGTTCACTACATTACGTGGGGCAAACGCTTCCTGATTTGGTTGTAAAACTCGACATTGAGACATTGCACGGAAACAGCCTTCTCCTCATGTACTTTAAACGACAGCCTCTGAAACGATGCTGGCTCTAACAAAATGTAAGGCAGTCTGAAATGCAAGTATCGCCCGCACATCTCTCATCTTCTACTTACATAATAAAAATTGAAACAAAATTGAACCACCAAAATTCACGACTTTTATTGCATTATTGGACTATTCAAAATGTACATACCACTTTAAAGCAAAAGAAATCCAGAAATTGTATCATTTTCAAATATTTGAGACAATTCATAAAATAAAACTAGGTCAATGAACTATCCTTATAAGCTTGTTCAATAAACTTTACTCTTATTTTTTAGCTCCCAATGTACATTCACATTAAAGAAAACGTCCTCAGGTGCAAGTCTGCAATAGATTATTTCGAAAAATAAAATTATGCCTAGGGATGTACGTTGTATCTTTTAAAACCTCTAATCATTTTCACGGACTAAATTGTGAAAAATTGTAACCTCTCTGATGAAACATCTAGCGACTGTGATTGGAATTCTGACGTATGGCTCGAAAAGCGCAGCTTTCGCCCGGCGTTCATATTGCTATACAGAAGTGTCTTGTGAAAGTTCAAGTGAACCACTGATGAAATTCGAACTTGAGATTTTTAGATGGGAATGAACAAAATTCTTGACAAACATCTAGGGACTATGATTGAAATTCTGACGTATGGCTCAAAAAGCGCTACTTTCGCCTGGCCTTCACATTGCTATTCTCTATAAGGAAGTGTCTTTTCTGAAAATTCAAGTGAGTCATACTTGAAGGTTTTGGATGGCTGTTAATAAAAGTCTTGACAGTCCGGCCCGTTCACACCAAGAGCCACCATGCCACTCGTCATAGAGGGTCTGTGAACAGGCTTAAGAGTCAGGCTTCGATCACTTTGGCTTAACATATACCCTTCCTTGCAATGCTTTAATTGTGACAATAAGACTCTATCAATGTAAGTAACGACAAGAGAAAAAGATAGCCTACACATCCAGTTACGTAAGCAAACTGCTTATAATCAAGTAATCAATCCTTTGCACACAGTGCCGACCGTTCCTGTTGGTCGACTCGCTGCAAATCATAAAAGCTTTCCAGCTTAAAGCAAAACAATATACTGAATCTTTTTACAAACGGTGAAAATTATACTCTGTAAATTCGCATTCCTTATAACAAAATTAATTCATTATTTAACGATATTCTCTCTACTTAAATTAACGTTTTATTTTCTACCTGTATAACAGGCGTTTATCTTATTAAACGAAGATCCGAAGAAACAATTTCTACAAACTAAAAACTGCTTTCCGCTAATCCCCACTTAATTTAAGCCATAACTGGAACAGTTGACTGAGATAGGCGAACCAGAAGCATAAAACCCCACATGCTATATGGGTTACATGCTTTTAGTAAATCCAACTAGTGGTCTATTATCAGTGCTGCGTTCTGATTGGTTGAGCTACTACTAGGCTATATGTTAGAGCCCAATAGTAGCAAAAAGCGCCGGCTTTGAAAACCAAAACAATGGCGGCTGAATCGCGTTTTGCTAGCTAAAGTTGTTGTCTCGATATTTTTTACCAACTAGTTGGATTTTACTAAAACAATTATTCCTCTCGCCCTCTTGGCCTCTGAGTCAATAGCCCATTCGGTCTCGAGGAATAATTGTTAAATACGCATTATAACCCCATGCGCTATGTTCTTCTGGGCGAACAAACTGAGAACCAGTATTAAACTAGAAATTATCGCTTAACTTTATCAAAAGTCCCTTACGCGTATTTCGCCTCCATATGAACCACAAAAATATTTCCTTAAGTTTAGTCTTAACTTTAGTCAGACGATCCAGTACTTTGGTTATGAAATTTACCCAGAAGCGAAATGGTTTTACTGTCCACAGGGATCCCAAGGTGACGATAACAGGACCACAGGTATTCTTCTCTCATCGTGAACTTGTGCACACACACTGAAGGTACCGTTTAATTACAGGAGGCAATTTCTAGTTACTTGCAATACAAGGCTGACAAAACCTTTCACCCACAGACAACACTACACCGCAGCTCAGAACTTTGAAATTGTTCTGAAAACGTATACTTTCCTGCTATTCGCAAACTATGTTTTGTTTCGTAACTTTACTCATTCCTTAAGAAGAGCTTTAATGTGACATACACATCCATCAAACACAGAGGTATGCCAAGTGGGTAGAATGACTGATTTGAAGAGGCGTGTTGCAAGTACAATTTAGATTTTTTGTTGATTTGCCTGGAGAATACATTGCAAGCAGACGTTCTTCATTCCTCTCACCAGTTAAATCACGAACTTGCTTATGATAACTTCATCATTGTGAAAGTGATAACGTGAAGGGATCCGTGCTTTCTGTCATCTAAAGAGAAAGTAAGAAACGAGAGCGAATGCTCGCACTCTGCATACAAAGAGAAATTTTAAAAAATCTGCTGGTGAAATTGCCTCGTGTAATGACGATTCAGTTCCCACGTGCGCCTGCACGATTTTAAGAACCTCGTCACAAGATATGCACCTAGTCTTGGGCAGTGACAACCAATGTTATTTGAAAGTTTGTGAAACCTGTCACGTTTGCTACGACCTCTGGTACGTGACGACACACCCAACTCCCAACTTTTCAAGAAACTCTTATTAAATGTCTCAAGTATGGTCAAGAAAAATCTGCGTTTGTTAAGCACGACAGTAAAGAAATCTAAACTGCAACGACAATCTCCATTCTCTCATGCAAAATTTAAATTACTCCTTTAACAAAATAGACTCATTTTATCATTATATTTCACCCGGTGAATTAAAAATCAATTTTTTTAATGTAAGTTCCCTTCGTATAGACAAAAGACAAAAATATTTAATGAACTCATCTACTGACGACCAGATCATCACACTCGTCAGTGAGAGGAAGACTGGCACTGCACGGACCAGGCTTCCCCTCCGTAAACTCATCTGAGTCGGCCTCATCATCGGTAAGATCATTTCCACTGCCGATGTGCTCGTAACTGTCCGTGTTCTCTTCGGCAGAACTCGCGTTTATCTCGGGGCTCGTCGGCTTATTCTCGGTAGGGGTAGTTGGGACGGTTATTCTTTCTTCTTCGTCACCTGCGGCTTCAGCTAGGTCATTGACAGTGGCCACGTTCCCATTTTCAAGCACCTTGCTTTTGAGTTTTTCGAAGTTCTTTTTCAAACTTTCATTCTCGGCTTTCAGAGATCTTATCAGATCTTTTAACTCGGCCTGGTTGATCTGCATGGTGTTGATAGTGCTTTCCAGACCGTGGATCGTGTTCCTGGCACAAGACAGCTGTTCATTCAGGCTTTGAATTTGTTTCGTTTTAACGGCGATCTCAGCTTCCAGCGACTCTACTCTCTCACTCTCAATCTCTTCAAACGACGTCACGCTCAAATCCTCTTCTTTAAGTACACGGTACTCAACCTTAGAGTAACGCAATACACAACGTCAGAAAAACGTACAAGTAACATCAGCTGTACTCCAACCCTGAAGTAACGCAATACCCGCAACATAAAGAAAACTTAGAGGAAAAATTGCCAAAAAGAGAACTTGAAGAAACGCATGCCCAAACCATTGGGAAAACCTACAGGAGAAATCGCCTGATGATGACATAGTAGGTCTACATGCCCGCTAATCTACTCTTTCTTTCATGTTCTCGAGCATGTCACAGGGTTGAGAATACATACACTTCAATAATACGGAAACATGACTTACGACACCTCAACTCCAAGAAGATTCGCAATAAATTTGATAAGATTTTGAAAGAAAACGAATTACTTTCATTAGTAATGACTTCTGTGTTTACGGTTTCTATAAAAACCGAAACACTATGCAGTCCTGTCGTGTCCGTAATGTCCGTAAGTAAGAAAGGCCATATGGATAATTCTGAAGGCCAGACACAAAATACTGTATTATTGAGTCCGCAAACAAGGAGAGTCTATTACGCTTCAGCTGTTGCTTGTCATTTTGCCAATTCATTTTTTTCTGGTCAAAAGAAACTTTGCAAAAAAGGGGTAATTGTGGTCATAACATGAAGATAAAGTGTGACCTATTGCGTCAGTAAAATAAGCGTGACCTGTTGCGTCGAAAAACGCAAGTAGTCACGCATCATTCATCGTTAGTTATCGTCGTGCTATATACCGACATGATGGTGAAGCTTAACTTGTTGCGTCACATAAATGAGCGTCACCTGGTGTGTCGAAAGTTTTTGCTTCCTTGCAAGAAATCACGATTTATTTTCTTTGATAAAACAGGTTACATTTCATGACATAGCAAGCCGATAACATCGCAAGTGCCCAACAGACGGAACAAAAACTGTAAACACCTGCTCTCTAAATGGAGCCATTTTTGCTGCCGTCGCCGTCGTGATTGCTTAGGGTCGCTCATGTTATTCTCTGCCACTCACCTCGTACGATTGAAGATCTTTGCTCACATCAAGGGACAACACTTCACTGACCAGTCTCTCAATGTTCTGCTCGGCAAAAGGAGGTACTGAGATTTTTATGACTTCTACAGCGCCTTCCAGTCCGTCACTGGACAATAACTCGTCTTGACATGATCCAAGGAGAAACAGAATCACCTAATAACATTTACATTGAAGAAAAAATGGTTACCTTAACCCTTGAAGCCCTAAGAGTGGTCAACATCAAATTTCTCCTTGTAACATCAATGCTTTGTAAAATAGAGTGGTCATGAGAATTACGAACACGATCACACATGATGAATTTGCTTGATATTTTACCAACTTCTCCCCACCACTTCTGTAGGAAATGAATAGGGGCAACAAATGAGAATTCAAATTTTGATGTGAAGGTTGAAAGGGTTAATAAATGGTAAGTCTAGCACTATATATTCATCAAAGCAGTTGTCATCCATCGAGTTATGTTTTTGCTGTTCTTGCTATGTTTTTACGCAGTAGTTCGACTATTTCTTCTTCGCAAAAAGGGAGAAATGTTCCGCCGCTTAAGGGGTTAACATCCTGAATTTGCTGAACAAGAGTCAAATGAAGAAGGGAACTTAAACTTACTATCGATCGAGCTCACTAAGCCCGTTTTTAAGTATGTAGTACTATTTTTTTGAAAGAATAATAAAACAATAAATTATTGGAGTCGGCCTCATCCAATAACTTGCTAATTATCGTACCTTAAACACGACCTCCATTCCTTGAAGGAACATCATATCTGAGAGAGGGGACAAAAACAAGTTAGCAAACACTGGTACAACTGTGAAAGGTTTGAACCCAGGAGTCATTTCGTAAGTAGGTTGAGTATAATCGTTCGGGAACGTAGTCCTGAATAGGACTTTTGTTGACAGTGACTGACTTTTCAACAACCTGTGCGGTACTCATCTTCGGAGTTAAAGTGAGTTGCATCACGTCAGGTGATGGTATTGAACTCTGGTTATTGATCTGATTGGTCAATTAGGTCGCGATGTTATTGGTCGTCTCTCAGTTAAGCCGCGATTTTATTGGCTTCGAAGACTCGTAATGACATTGTTACATTGGTGCGCACTGAATCGTAGTCAAAAGTTACCGGCACTGTACAAACGACTTATTGACGGACTGAAGCAAAACAAACTACGAGAGAATAACTGGACAACCGACAAGTTGACTACCAATAAACGACTGCTTAACTGTGACAATAGACGAATCGAAACGCACCAATGACATTAACAGTCCTATTCAGGACTACGTTCACCCGGACGATCATACTCAACCTACTTATGAAACACCGGTAACAGAACTCTAGCCTTCTATCATGAAGATAAATTTTGCAGTTTAGGTAAAGAATAACGGCAATAAGAGCGGAGTAACTAAGACACAACGCAGTATGTCAAAAGAAAAAAATTAACTAACCCATCACTCGCGCCACAAAGCCTATTGGGAAGTGAGAAGCAAAGAGCGTGAGGAACCACGGAGCTGCATAAAGTGTTGGCGTGACGTCATACTCCAACAGGAACTCATGCACGGGCTTGTAGTAATCACATAACAGCCTTGACAGCATGTAGAACTGCGTCTGTGAAAAATACATAATCACTCTTTGTTAATGGCATAATACAACACAGTCAGTCAGAAGGGAGCACATCTATCTATGCTGTGGTTTTAACTTTTCTTTGTCTCCTCAGCAAAACCGACAAAATTAAATCGGTTTAAATTTTGAGCCACAACGGGTGAAGGGGA